ATATTTCATTGCGTATAGTAATTGCTCTGCAGTAAAGCCATTCAAACTACTTCCATTTTTGCTGATGATATTCGTTTGTTTTATGCCTGCCGTAATTATGAGTGAAACGTCACGTCATCATTGTGTATCAAACAGTGCCACCTTGACGAATATTGAGTCATCAGATATGTAAATATAGTTGTGCAGGAAAAAATACTTACACATTTACATACCTCGGGTCTCTAGCGACCCTATACACTTTTTACAAAAAATTCATCAGAAAACAGGCATTCTTTTATATTTTACTATTTTTTTTTCTTGTTATATTGGATGGAGAGGGTAGAGAATGATGTCCCGGGTCGCTAAAGACCCGAGGTATGCATTTAAGGGTTAAAGTAGAATGTTCATGCATGGAACGTGAGAATAGCTTCCTTATTTAAAGATAAGAAGACTTTTGACACCAAACGTTCAGTACTCAGCCAGAGTGAGAAGGCAGCCCGAGACAGGGTGAGAAAGCGAGGTCCTCACCACCCAATGACCCAAGACCTAATTCTACTAAGGACCAGCAGCGCCCAGCAGGGCCGGTACAGTGACCTGGCAAGGTCCAACATGGAGCTGAATGCCAGAGTACGAGATGCCTGGGGACCTGATTCCTCCAAAGAGCCATCATTTCAAACCACCACCAAAAAAACCTCCGAAATCCATACCCCCTTCACTACCCATAGCGTTGACCTCAGCCCTCAGAGCTCCTCACAGTCCAGACAGACCTGCTTCACACCCCACTCCCTTCCCAAACAATCCCAGAGATCATTCAAAGTAGTTAGGCCTAGAACAAACCAGACTGGTCCACTGAATACGACTTCCTCTGAAGATGGCAAGACACCACAACGATTGTTTATGAGGCGAACCTCCATGCCCACACATTGCAATGAAGATTTTGAAATGACCAACAAGTCCAGTTCATATCACGTCCCACTAAACCCCTTCAGGGAGCATGGAGACTTTCAGCTGAGGACGGACACTCAACTGGAGGCTTACATTCAGGAGTGTACCAGACAGCAGCAGATTCACAAACATGGCAGTGGTGATGACCAAGGTAAAACTATTTGGAAGCGCAGTCATTGTCAGCAATAAGGTACTAAAATCTAAAGGCATGACACTTTTGTCATAGCTAACCAGCCATAACTGATTTCTCAGTTTAAAAATTTGAACTCTATAGAGGTAACATATATAACAACGTAATACAATATTTAAAATGTTATGTTGCATTTGGTTGAAAATGTAGTTTAAGAGGGTAACTCGGTTTAGAACATACAGTGGCAACTGGTCCAAGCTGATCATTAGCTAGACCATTTGGGACCAGCAACAAACCATCTACCAGGTGGTTAAGCTGGTTTTTGAAACATGGTGGTTGTTCTACTAATAACCAGGTAGAAACCATGTTCCAAAACACAGCTATATTGATGGATGTAGCATTATATCTATGCAATTTGAGCTTATTAGTGCCATGTCTTTCTTTTGTGGCTTTTTTGTATGCTTGAACATGTTTGCTAGGGGGCAGCAAAGTACAAGTTAAAATGTCCCATGTAGTTCAAATGTCCCATGTAAATATTAATGTCAGGGTGGTACATAATTAATGAATATTATTTGAAGTAGTTTTAAATCTTTACATTTTAAAGGATATTTTGCATTACATTGTAATATTTATACATGTTCTTGTTTAAGATTGTGTGTTTAAGAGTGTCTGATTATTTCAGACAGTTCATCACCAGTTCTGCATGCATATACAAACACTGTGACTTTTACCTAATTAATGAGAGATGCTGACAAGAAGTGTAAACATATTTTGCTGATGTTGGAGAGACAAAATAAATTAGATTTGCCACACACTGTGAGTAAAGAGAGCTTTGAAGAAATTGTTTATATCTCTGTCAGAACTCTGTCATTTTATGTCTCTTGTCTTAAGCTGATTCTTATTAGGGAGCTGCTCTAATTTAAAGATTGAAACAGAAAAATAGTTGTGAGATGGGGTTTATTATTGTTGAAAGTAGATGATGTGCCAGGCAATGTAAAGCTGTCTGCTTTAAACAAATGATGTTCATCAAATGAACATCATCTGTTGAGGTTTTCTAATTCTAAAGATAAGTATGTAGCATTTTAATGTTGAGTTTTATGTGAGTTGCATCCAGTGATCTTCATTTTGCATTTTTACCTCTTAATTCTTGTTGTTCTGGTGAAATGACTTTGTATGCCGGACTTCTCCCATTCATTTAGTCTGGTTAAATTCTGCCCCTTTCTTACAATCGAATGCACCCTCGCATTCAGTCAACTGTGTCCATCCAGTCAACAACCAATGAATGGAACTTGAATGTACCTCACAACATGAAAGGAAGAAAAATTTGTATTACTTCCATTTCATTCCAAATTTAACATAAAAGCCAAAAGCCAATTAGAATAAAATGGCTTCTGATTGGTCAATGAAAAACAGCAGCCATGAAATTAAATAAAATTTGTGCTGTTAGCAGTCATACTGTTGCTGCTTTCAGTGCTTCTTTTATTCTGTCATCTCTGTTTAACCATCTTTCTGAACATGAACTGAACATGGAGATCAACTCAAGGTCAGTTATCTGTAAGTTTCATAAAACTATTGCCTCAGAAAACATGTTTAGTCACCACCACTACACAGACAATGTGTTCTTTGGTAAGCCTTCATGAATCAAGCATGGATTGGATACTTCTCTGCACAATACTTGCTGGTGAGTGTCTTTTTCTTTGATTCACTTATTCAAAACAAATGTGTTCACTACAAAGTGATTTGGAGCAGAAATGAGTCATATGATACTTCTCAAAGTTGGATCATTGATGCCATTGGTTTTGTGTCCAGCAGCTGTTGGTGACCCATCCTGATCAGTTCTTAATACTTGCCACCTGCTGTCCACCGTTGCCTTCAAGGCATTACTGAAGGTTGTGGATGAGGTTCTGTTCTAGGGAGGGTCCATTTGAGCATTCAACAGCTGTGCAGCGGTGCAGCAGAGGAAGCAAACGGCAAGTGAAAGCAGTGGAGAGTGAGGGGTGGGCCACAGTAAGAGCAATCACCCCTCACCCCTGAAGTCCACTCTCTCAGGAGCTCTCTTGTGCTAATTTGATTTAATCTGCAGAAAATTGGGCTTCACCGTATCCCTCTTTTCGTTCCAACCAGTGACTGTGTCTGAAATCGGGGGGAGTAGAACGCACTCCTAAAAGCCTTCTCAGTGGACACTGAAATCCTGAAAACCCAGCATTGTTCCCCCAGGTAGCGGCCTTGTTGTCTGGGGTCATCGGCTCCATGGTGAGATAACGAGCATGAAATCAAAGCAAAGGTGAACAACAAACAGGCTTCATGCAGGAGTGCGCACAAGCCTCCTGTTCTTCCCTGCGACCTGGGGTGGGACGTATTGAGGCTGTTCGTTGGGGTGAGGGGGCTGGATGCATGTAGGAAAGGAGTTTCCTAGAATAAAGTCTCTGCTTTGCATAAAGCAGCTCAGATGTGAGTTGAAAACCTGAACAATAAGGCGGGATCGGTGCATATGAATGGCCAGAAGGGCTTGTGATCTCCATTTGACTGGGAGCGAGAGGGATTTAGTCATGACGGTCTGTCAAATCACATTGCTGCAGATGTGCTGCATAGATGGAGGTGGCAGTTGAAAGCACATGGCAGGCTGTTGCTTAACGGTCCCGGTGGCTCATATTTTAACTCCTAAACCACAGTTTATTTGCATGGCATGTTGACATTTGACAGAACTGTCCCCAGGCTGGGTAGACATGACAGAATGAGAGTATACAGAGGAACTACATTAATTAGGCCTCATTTTGGAAAGAAATGAATGGCTAGTTTATGCTTAGCTCTTAAATGAGGAAACCTAAACCAACCGATACCATTCAGTTTGGGGTGAATTTTTAGGATTTTTTTAATATCACCAAGGCTGCATTTGTTTGATCAAAAATACAGTAAAAAATGTAACAATATGGAATGTTTTTACAATTTAAAATATCTGTTTTCTTTTTAAAATTTTTTTTTTTTTAATTTAATTTTCCTGTGATGGCAAATTTTAGTCAGCCATTACTCCAGTCTTCAGTGTCAAATGATCTAATATGCTAATTTACTGTAAAAAAAAAAAAATCATTACTTATCAATGTTGAAAACAGTTGTACTGCTTGATATTTTTATGAAAACGCCCTTTTCAGGATTCTTTGATAAATAGAAAGTTTAAAAGAAAAGCATTTATTTGAAATACAAATCTTGACTTTGATGTCACTTTTGATCAATTTAATGCATCCTTCCTGAATAAAAGTATTAATTCTTAAGAAAAGAAAAACAAATGTATACGCTGTCATTTAAAACTCATATCAAGTGTACATTTTGTACATTTTGTTTCTTTGGAACCAAGTCCATGATGTTGTTGCAATCAATCACCATGGTGTACTAGTTATGCTACAGGAGCTGTCAGCTGATGAAAGTATTATCATTTGGCAAATATTAGATAAATATGCAAAAGTCAAGTGCAGTTCATGATAGGGTAAAGCATTTGGACAGTTCTGTGACTACAGATTCTGTGTGGGCCTGCTTACATGTACTGCCAGCAACATAAAATGCTTTTTTGTAAGTCTCTTTGGTAAGAAAATTTCTGCCAAGAAGATTGACGTAGTTAAGATTTATTTAAAAAGATTGAAATGATTCATAGTGCAGTCCAGTGTTAGTTCTCCATCCAGAAGTGCTTGTGTCATAACGTCAAGCCGCAGTGTCACAACAAAGGAATCGCCAATATATCGAGTAGCTAAGCTAGAGTGTGTGTAATTCTCGACCGGGATGTGATGTGAAAGGAAACACAGTAGAAACAGATGGTTTGGTTTTCTTTGTCAAAACTGTGTTTCTCTTTATTTCCTAATAATGTTTTCGATGGAGAGAAATCTGAAGCTAAATATCCAGTGGCTGAAGTAAATACTTCAGTCGTTGACTAAATATCCTGTCAGGAGCTCGATCTAAACCTGATGACATCACTTAAATACAAAAACAGTGGAACGTGGAAGCCACAGCTTTTCTTTTATTAAGACTCCAAAACCTAGTGAACTGCCTTGCTGTCTACTGGCTGCGTATGCGGTCTTGTAAGAAATGAAACTTCACAAGAGGGTGATTTGGGACGGTTACACGAGCACAAAGTGCACAAGAGGTTTGACTCAACATTTGATTTATATTTATATCGCAAAAAGTGCTGCAGGAATGAGTTCTAAATCCTGGAAATAAGTTAGAATTTTTTGCACTTCCAATTTGTCCCAGTGGGTTTTTGAATAAATGCCTGAAATAAGGTTTGTGGTTAACATAAGCTCAAGATATTTTCGTGTTTTATTCTACAAATAACCCGCTCTTTATTTGTAATTTTTTAAGCTTTTATGTGTCTTCAAGAAGGCATTCGCTAACAATTGATAAAAATAGAACAACAAACAGGTAAACTCCACTACTCACTAGTGCACATTCACAGCCTTTTTGTGTTTATACAGTACTAGTGCTTTTGTAAACTATTCTAACTCCTCAAACTTACACAGATTTTAAATAAACACTGACAAGCTGTCAGAAGGTTAGTGGTAGTCATGCAATTGTGATGCAGTGTGTTATTCTAATTTTTGCTTTTTACTTTTTCGTTTGATTGTTTTTAGGCTTCAAAATTCTAAAAAAAAAAAAAAAAAAAGCGGTGTTAATTTGTGAAGATTATCTTGATGGAAAAAAGAAACGTATGAATAATAAACTTGAGTAGTGTTTTAATAGTTAAAACTAAAGCTATTAAAATCTGTTCATTAATTGAAATATAGCTCAAATAAAATATAAATATTAGATGAAAAGCTTAAACTTGTACATTAGAAATTGATTTGAGTTTACTGAAGTACTAAAATGATTTAAACTGAAATAAAAAATAATCAGCGCTAAAAAGACATTACAAAAAAAAAATCTAAATACTATTTATAAATAATACTTAAATAGCTAACACTGTCACAGAGCTCACATATCTCAGAAAGCAGCATAATTATATGCCTATACCCTATAAAATGCTGAGTACGCAGGCAGTTCACTAGGTTTTTAAAAAGAGCCTTAATGTATCTGAGGACAATAATATCTGAAGATCTATGGGTTGTCTGAAGCAACCTAACTGGGAACTTTCGCTTACAGTAGGTCACGTTTCTAGAAAAAGATTCAGATAGAAGATGGAAGCTGGATTAATTAGCTTTGCTGATAAGGATTGAAAACATAAACTGAACTTGGGTGGGCAATTGCCTCTAATTCCGAGCTGTGCTATTGGGCTAATTCCCTCCCAGCTCATTCATATAGTTAACCTTTTTGCTCATTGATTGTTTTTTATCAATAGCAAACATTGTGTGATTTTGGTAACTTGAACTTGTTCAAAGAGCCCTAGGTCAGCCTGGTGGAAAGAAAAGTGTGGATCAAAGAGTGGAGCGCTGGTGGACGGGGTGCTGATTTTTTCAAGTTGACAGATTGTTATTTTCAAGTGTCAGTCTTTGTTTTCGGTGATGCCTCCCTGCAGGGCTCAGGTTACCAACTTATGGCAGACCTGAGAGTTTGGTGTTT